TAATTTCTCTATATTTTATATAATAATTCTTATGCTTAACAAAAGTAATTATAATATCAATTTTTTTATAATTTACTGTTATTAGGTGTTTGGCCGCAATTTTACGGGTAGTTATATTATATAAGGAAATATATATTTTGTTTACATTGTTATAATTTTTGAATAATAATTAGATATTGTAAAACTCAATATTAAATTTTAAATAGTTGGATAGTCAAAAATTTCAGTATATATTTTCAGAAGATCTGTGAGATTTAAAATAGTTCAACAACATAAACATAGTCATTAAAAATCTCTATCTTACAGAAAAAAATATTATAATTAATTCAGATGACTTTATATTTTATTTTAACACATGAAAATCTGGTGTACTCTAGCTTTGAAGGGAAAAGAAAAAGAGAGTCTATTTTTTTTGTGTGTAGCTCTACTACGACTAATATAGTGATCATAGGTTTTTATCATGAAGATCTTTTGTAAACGTCTTTTCGTTGGCTTTAAGAAACATAAAAGTTTTAATAATTTCTTACCTAAAAATATAATTTATATAATAATATATAACCATTAAATTTACTTCTATAAAATGTTAATGTATTTTTTCAATATATATATATATATATATATATAAATAGTTGATAAAAATAACGAAATTAATAAAACATAGATATTCTTTCTCTAACTCTACAATAAGTTACCATAAATCATTATTTGTAATATTCCTTGTGTTATTTGGTAATTTGTACTCCCTCTGTTTCAGTTTAAATGTCATTGTAGAGAAAATTTTACGTTTCAAAATAAGTGTCGTTTTATAGTTTCGCTTCATAATTTATTAACTTTATATACTTTACTATTTTTTGGTTGAAATGTGGTTAGGTGTATATATGTAATTGTGTTTTTATTTTGAAAATATGTAAAATTAAATTTTTCTTAATCTGTGTGTAAAAACCTAAAACTATAACTAAAATGAAACAGAGAGAGTATCAATTAGTTCTAGAGTTCCTTTTGATCTGATTAAAATAAATAAGTAATAAAAGTTAACAATCAATCAAATTATAACTATTTTCAAAAACTTAACATATTAATGACACATAAGAAAAAATCACTTAATTCTCAATTAATATATAGTTACGTGGTTGCCCACAAATTTGTGGGTACAAATAATTTTAATTTTAAATATAATATAATAATTTTTATGTTTTTGGCATGCAATAAAATATTTTAATATTTAAAAATTGAATGTAATTTTTTGATGGATAATTTTTATTAAAATTATATGTCTTATCTATGTATGTTATGACTTATATAGAAAAATAAAGCTACCATATTAATTTATTAACTAATTTTTAAAAATATACTTTATAAATAGATTATTAATGAATAAAAATATTTGAAGAAGTATTAGATAAACTTTTCATAATTGCTATCATTAGATAATATAAATGACTATGTGTAAGATTATATGATTTGTTTGACAATTAACATTAATTGGTTCTAGGACTGCATGTTTTAGCTTTTCCATTAAAATCAATAAAATTTAAAACTTATCAACCAATCAAATTATATTCTCTTAAACTTCACCCATGATTAACACCTACATATTTTCATTTAATTTACTTTTCATTTAATACATGGTAGGATAATATGACTTAAATTTTAAATGCTCAAAGGTGTAAAATATTATAATGATTCTTTTTAAATAGGATTTTTCAAGTTAAAATTTTATTAAAGGATATGTTTTATAATAAATTTGTAAGAAATTTTGAAATATATTTTGATCATAATATTTTTGGCAACTGTATGAGTTGGTTTATGGTTATTTTCTTTTTAGAACTAAATTAAATAAATAAAACCTGAAAAACCATCGACCAATCAAATTATAACAATTAATTTAATAATTCACCTATGAATGACATATGTACAAAGTCACTGAAATGACTTATCAGTTAATATATACTTAGGATACGATTTATCGCTTTAAATTTAAGAATAAATTTGCGTAAAGTAAACACAAAAACGTAGCAATTTCTCTCATAATAAATTTGGGTAAAGTAAACAGGAAAACATGTATTAAGAAAATAATAGTTTAAGCAATTTCTCTCATAGTTTTTTCAAATCAAAAATTACACTTTCTCACATATTTTTTATTTAGAGTTTAACATAAAACTCAATTGGGTTAAGAAAAAAAAAATTCTTCCTTTAATTATATCCGCTCATTATACTATTTTATAAAACACTAATTCATTGGAATAAATTTGTTTATTAAAACTAAGCATAGTTTAGATATCTTATAAAAGTATTATTTACATTTATTTTAAATTACTTTAAAACATAAAAATTTAATTAAATCGGATTAACTAATAAGAGAAAAAAAATTAAAATTTTAAATAATGAAGGTCGTTATTGTAGTCATATATACTTAATATTAACCTGAAATCTAGTATTAAATAAAAATAATTTTTTTATTATTATAAAATTGTTAAAATTTTATGATCGACATTTTAAAAGTTTATTACCGCAAAAGTATATCTCATTATTTTTTAAAATATTTTTCTTAACAATTGTAGAACTGATCAATTTTATTGATATTTCTTACTCAATTTATATTAACATTTTAAAAATAGATAAAAATAATTAGTTTACGTTTCTAGTAACACAAAAATTACATATATCTGGATTAACAAATAAAAATTAAATACATAAGAATATAAAAGAACCAAGAACACAATAAACATATTTTATTATTCTTCCCTCCTGTTTTTATGTATGTCTCCTTTCTTTTTCTTTATTAAAATAAGCATGCTGTTTTTTTATAGTCAAAGCTTGTGAAAAATATTTTGATTAATATAATTTTAAACTACTTACCATTAAATAATTTTAAATAAATTACCATATAATATAAGTTTAAATGACTTACCATATAATAACTTTAATTCATTTTTTATATTAATAGATAAATTAATTAAAACTTTTCTTGATTAATATAATTCTAATGACTTACCATTTAACTTTGTGTTTTAAATTATAAAAATATTTTAATAATTTTTAAAAGTGATAACTCATTTATGATATCACAGTGTCAAAAATGGTTGGAATTTTAAAATAATATATTTGTCTGTTTTGTATTCATTTGACATATTTTTGGTATAAACGTAGTGAATGAGTGAGTTTAACTATTATTATTAGGTTTGAATTAATTAGTTTTTTGAAATCTATGATATATTGTATTCACTACTAATATAAATATATTAAAATCATTTTTTATAATTGTTTATGAAGTATCATATGTATTTATATATTAATTTTCAGTTTATATAATGTAATCTATGGTATTTAATTGTTTTTATAAATAAATTATGTTAATTCATTTATATTTGAGATGTGAAACTATATGTTTGGAAACATAAGTTATATTAGGTAATTCTAGGATTAATTTCCTTTCAAAAAAATAATTAAATAAAAAAATAATCAACCAATCAAATTATAACAATTAGTTAGAGATGTCTCCTATGAGAGACACGTCACCAGAAATCATTAAAGTGATTTCTCAATTATGTATAGGAACATATTTATATATTTGACTGCTTTGCATTCATTTGACACATTTTGGAATATACATAGTGAATGAGCGGGATTAATTGATATTATTATGTTTAAATTAATTATTTTCTGAAATGTATGATTTATTGTATTCACTAATAAAAATATGTTAAAAATCATTTATTATTTTTTATGTAGTATCATATGTATTTATATGTATATTATCTATTTATATAATGTAATATAAGGTATTTCATTGTTTCTATAAATAAATTATGTTAATTCATCCATATTTAATATTTTTAATTGTATGTTTGGAAACATAGATTATATTAGGTAAATCTAGGATTAGTTTCCTTTTAAAAAATTTTAATTAAATAAATAAAAAATAAAAACTCACCAACCAATCCAAAACAATTAAATGAAGAGTTATCAAATGAGCGACAAGTCAACAGAAATCACTAAAGTGATTTCTCAATTAAAATATAGAAAATTATATATTTGACTGTTTTACATTTTTTTGACACTTTGGTGTATATATATATATACACACATATATATATATATATGTAGTGAATGAGTGAGTTTAACTAATATTATTAGGTGTAAATTAATTAATTTTCTGAAATCTAAGATTTATTGCATTCACTACTAATATAAATATATCAAAAATAATTTTTTATAATTATTTATGTAGTATCATATGTATTTATGTATATTATCAATTTATATAATGTAATCTATGGTATTTAATTCTTTTTATAAATAAATTAGGTTAATTCATCTTAATTTAAGTTATTTAATTGTATACTTGGAAACATATATTAGATTAATTAATTTTAAGATTAGTTTTCTTTTAAAATTAGTTAAATAAATAAAAAATAATTAACCAATTAAATTATAACAATTAATTGGAGATTTTTTTTCTATAAACAACACTATAACAGAAATCACTAAAGACACTTCTCAATTAATATATTGGAGACTTAATATAAATTTGTATGAAATTTTAATAATTTAAATTTATATATAAAATTAAATTAAAAATTGTTAGGTATATTTATTTATATTAGTTCGCACCATCAACTATTTGTAAATAAATTTTTTGATAAAAAAACAAATACTATCGAATGACCAACCACAGCTGTAGTTTTGCAAAGCAGCGCTTTTATTCAAGTTTTCAAATTCATTGACGAACATGACACCTGACGAGTGTTTTCGAATATCAAATCACAGCCGTTTATTCCATGCTGTTTGTTGGGACAAAAACCCTCGTTCATCAGCAAATAAAACCAACTTCACGCTGTTTTAAACTCAGAGAGATACACAGCGTGTCGCTCCACTCAACTAACTGCGCGAAACGACGTCGTTACAGATAATGTTTCCCCTCGACAAGCGCCAAACCAGTTAAAATCCCCCTTTTGGAAAATATCCCTCTCTCTTCTCTACGCTCTCCTCTCTCTCTCTCTCTCTCTCTCTCTCTATCTCTTTCAACTACTCACTCTCCATTTCAAAATTCAAAAACCAATCTCTCATCTTCTTCTCTTTGATGGAGACTTCGTCGGCGATTTCGATCGGTACTTGCTTGAAAGAGCATCAGAAGATCTACAAGGAATGGTTCAACATCGCCGATTCAGGTTTCAGTGTTATTATCCTCTCTACTACTCTCTCGTATAGATGATTCCGTTCTGATTGTTCGTTTTGATCAATTCAGATGGAGATGGACGTGTTTCCGGGAACGATGCTACAAAGTTCTTCGCCATGTCAAAGCTTTCTCGCCAGGAACTTAAACAGGTTGATAAATTCATATTACGAATCGACGATTTAGTGTAGTTTTAAGATTGATTTCGTGAATCCGTCGAGATTTAAGTTGATTTGAAGCGTAGAAACTAGGGATGATTGGAATCAATCGTGTTTTTTTTTTTTTTTGTTTAAAGGTTTGGGCGGTTGCGGATTCGAAACGGCAGGGGTTTCTAGGTTTGGCGGAGTTCATCACTGCGATGAAGGTATGTATCTATGATTGTGTCAGTTACATACATAACGTTGTTATGTTACATGAGAGACTTACACATTTAATCATGTTTAGCTCGTCACGTTGGCACAAGAAGGACATGAAATTACTTCAGATCTTCTGAAAGGTTCTGGTAAGTTAACAATATTGAAATCAAGTGAGAGCTTTATGGTTAAAGAGAGAAGCATCTTATAATGTGTATCCTTCTTATTGTAGTTGATATGATGAGTGTGGAACTCCCAGTGTTGGAAGGATTGGAGAACGTTGTATCTGTAAGGCTCTTTCTTATCTCATTTTGTTTTTAAAATATTTACATGATTTTATAATTATCTTTACATGTTTGCTTACAGAAACAGAAGGCATCAAAAGCATATGCAGATGAGGAAGACAATGGTAACCAATATTGTCCTTTGTTGCAATATTTTCTCATTCATGACTGTTTTTGTTTTGGTTATGTGAAAGTTAATGGTTTGCTCGCTAAACTTGCAGTAGTCACACAGCCACAAGTAGTCAAGGAAAAAGCTTCCTGGTTCAAGTCAAAATCCATTATGAAGGTTTGATATACAACTTGGTTTTATTGCTGCAAATGCCAATCTTTCAGTCATGTTGTCGTGTGTTCTAACAAGTATTCTGAAAAATTTTCATGTGCAGCCACAAGTAAATGTGGTGACAATCGTTGATGGCTTGAAACGCTTGTATGCTGAAAAGCTAAAGCCTTTGGAAGTCACGTATCGTTTCAATGATTTTGCGTCCCCAGTGCTGGTGAGTGAACTTATATCCGTTATTGGGTTTTGTTTATCTCGTTTTTCTGTCAAGAATTACAGCACTTATGTACATGTAACACCATCGGAAATGAAACTCAGCTTGTTATTTTAATATATGCAGACAAATAGTGACTTTGATGCCAAACCCATGGTCATGCTTTTGGGTCAATATTCCACCGGGAAGACAACATTTATAAAACACTTGCTGGGATGTGAATATCCAGGTACTTTGCTCCGTTTTCTAGCAATATATAAATAATTTTAATTATCTATTTGATCTCACCACTGTCTGCTTGTTATCAGGAGCTCACATTGGTCCAGAGCCAACAACAGATAGATTTGTGGTTGCAATGGTATGTAGAGTGTCTTGATTTGATTGTAGTAGAATAATAGTTAGTTAAGTCGTTTTAGATTAATCTTATGAATAAATTTTCTTATAGAGTGGACCAGATGAGCGAACCATACCTGGAAACACCATGGCTGTTCAAGCTGACATGCCATTTAACGGGTTAACAAGTTTTGGAGGTGCTTTCCTATCAAAGTTTGAGTGTTCTCAGATGCCTCATCCTGTGAGTATTTAAGCATCTCCTTACTTTCTATCTCTTTTTTTCACTTCTTTTGTTGGTTTATATGAGGTTTGTCTTTTTGCATGTGTAGCTCTTGGACCAGATTACCCTTGTAGACACTCCCGGAGTTCTTTCAGGAGAGAAACAAAGGATGCAAAGAAGCTATGACTTCACCGGTGTTATCTCATGGTTTGCATCTAAATGTGATATGATTTTGCTTCTCTTCGATCCCCACAAGCTCGACATCAGCGATGAATTCAAGCGTGTCATAACATCTTTACGTGGTAATGAAGACAAGATACGTGTCGTATTAAACAAAGCTGACCAAGTTGATACTCAACAAGTAAATTCTCGTTTCCTTCCTATTCATGTATTACATTTACAAACCTTAACTATTACTTGTTGTTGAGCTGAATGAAAACTTTGTCAAAATAGCTAATGAGAGTATATGGAGCTTTGATGTGGTCCCTTGGTAAAGTTCTGAACACACCAGAGGTCGTACGTGTCTACATTGGGTATGCTTTTGGATACAACCTAAATTGTTCATTTGATTTATTTGGCTAGTACACACTAAACTCATTTGCTATCGGTTTTTACCTGTGGAGGTCCTTCAATGACAAACCCATAAACGAAGCTGTGGTTGGACCGATTGGTAAAGAACTCTTTGAGAAGGAGCAAAACGATCTGATAACAGATTTGATGACCATACCTAAGAAAGCATGTGACAGAAAGGTATGATTTCGACGAGTTACAAACAAAGATTTATTCTCCAGTAAGAAACATGGACGAGTTTTATTTTGCAGATTAACTAGTTTTCCTTTTATTGTTTTGAAGATTAACGAGTTTGTGAAGAGAGCTCGAGCTGCAAAGATCAATGCCTACATAATGAGTCATCTCAAGAAAGAAATGCCAGCAATGATGGGAAAATCCAAAGCTCAGCAACGTCTTATGGACAAGCTTCAACAAGAATTTGAAAAGGTTAGTACCATCTAAGGCTCAAACTTAGTAATTGTCGTAGATGTTGCTTAACTTGTGTTGAAAGCTGCGTCAAGATACAATTTTTATTTGGAAATCGTTGTAAGTTATATACTATTTTTTTCAGTGTTGATTTCAGACATGAAAATTTGTAAAGTAATAAACATGAGTTTAAAAATATTAAACAGGTACAACAAGAGTATCATCTCCCGGCAGGAGATTTCCCAAGTGTGGAGCATTTCAGAGAAGTTTTGGGAGGATATAACATTGACAAATTCGAGAAGCTAAAGCCTAAGATGATTCAAGCAGTGGATGATATGCTTGGCTACGATATTCCAGATCTCTTGAAGAAATTCAGAAATCCATATGAGTGAAATCATAATTGGTATCTAAAAAATGTATGAAACTTGAGAGCCATGAATCTCTGATAGAGATCATGTTATCTGTTTGAATTGATTCTGTCTTTTTCTGAATTTTAGTATATCTGAATCTTTTCGCATCATCTTCTATATTAAAAAAAGAAATACCATTTATATCTACTATTAAAAAGTTTTACTAGGTCCATTTCATTAACTGTATAATATGACATAATAATCAATAAAAATATCAATAATAAATTAATTTAAAAATATTAATTTAAATTTTGCTTTTAGTTATAAATAAATCTGTTGAATTTATTAAATACTAAATTTTTTAAATATTTTTTATTAAATAATGTATTGATTAATTTCATAATTAAGTAATATAATATTAGTAAAAATTATATTAATTACATTTTATTATAAACCAAAAAAATAAAAAATATTTCTATTTTATAAATTTATAATTATAGTCTATATTATATTAAAATAGAAGTATTATATAAATTAAATATGATAAAATTATATTAAATTGGTAAATTAACCTATTATTTCTTAAAAATGCTTTCATATAAATAAAGTATTATCTACTATTAAAAAGGTTCAAATTTGTTAACCATGTCATATTTTATACATATAAAGTTATTAACATATGTTAAAAATTTATTTCTACAGCTATATATTTTCTAAAACCATGTGTTGAAGAATATTTTTATTTGGTTATTTGAAATAATGAAACTCAAAACATATAATAACAGTTAATCAAAATGTAAAATGCATAAAAAAAAATCACAATATTAATAAAGTAATAAGAAATCTAAAAAATAAATTTGTATATTTATATGTTAAACATATATAAAATGAAAATATACGCGTATATTCGTGAGGGTTAAATTCTAGTCTATTCTATTGCCAAATCTTTGAGTAAACTAAAACCATGTATACAGGGTTCATGTTTTAACTGTACAGATCCGTATATGCATATACTGTACTCATACCCGAATATGTTGACTGATAAGTTTCTGATTTTAAAGTTCAAATTAGCGTGGAAATAGCATATTAATTGGTCTTTAATTTTTTCAATTTCTTCTGAGAATGTAGATTTAATATTTGCGTGCCTCACAAACTGTTTTTCTGTCTTTTGTAAAGTTGGTTTGAGTTTATAAATAAAAATCGAGACTTTCAGAAAACAAACATTAAAAAATAAAACAAATATATAGTTAGGGCCAGACTGGTTTGGCTGTTACTACCCATAGCACAACTTTACCTTCTACTAGCCACAATGTAACTTTTGCGATTAGTAGTGGTTGTCGGTAGTTTGCAACAATCACAAAAACGCTATAAATTGCTTCAAACCATTCCAAACCTCGTAAAATCAAAAACTGGTCCACACTAGCGTTTACAGTTAGGGACAATTGCGGATAGATAAATAAATATCCTAATTTTTTATTATATTTAAAACTAGATTTTGACCAGGGCAACCGCGCGGATGTTTGTTTTCGTTTATAGTTAATTATATAAATATTTTGTTTTCACTTGTAAATTGGTATATATTATAATAATCACATATTTACAATATGTATAATAAATATTTTTCAAACATAATAATATTATATAATACGTGTTTTAATCAAATAGATTGTTTTAAATTTTCTATATTATACATGTTTTTCAAACATGTGTTTGTTTCTTCTTCTGTATTTTATTATTTGTTAGATTAATATTTCATTTTTAGATAAAGTAATATAAATAGAGCTTGATTAAATATTAGTATACTTTAATTTGCAAAGATAATATAAACTTTGAAGAAATTTTTGCTAAAAACTAAACTTATAGATTCATAAATTAATATTACAAAGATTTTTTTTAAATAATTTCTTTTTTTTAAAACAATATAATTTTAAAAATTTACATCAAAATAAATTTATCTAGTATATATAGCGTGTAAATTTTGTTAGGGTATAGAAATATTCCATATTACAAATCTGTGATTTTTGTTAATATATTGTGGATGCATTTAACTATTATTGACATATTTCCTTATGAATAATAGAAGATTCCTAAACTTATATCTATTGACAAATTTTGTGTGACTAAGTTGGAAGGTGTGAGATAATTTACCCAAACCAAATTGTTAAGCGTATTTTTGTGACCTTATGACCGTAAAAAGGAGCAGCAGTGGAAACCCAATTATGATTATAAACACAATTATGATTATAAACACAAATAGAAAAAAAAAACTGACAAAAGCTTTTCTATTTTGTGACCTTTAAAGATGCTCTAGTCATGACTCGAGTTGTGGTATTTTTCGTGATTGAACCATAAGCCAGAAAAACTGTAAATTTCCCTTTTTACACATGTCATCTATCATGTCCCCGATCCTGGGTAGGATCACCGGGACGGAATATGGCGCGAGGAGACGCACCAGTCAGGTCGTATGACATAAAGACGAGCATATCATGGTCCAGAAACGTGGTTACGTGCACCAGGAAGCGGAGACTTAGCCAGATAAGGAAGAAAAGAGAGTAAAAGGAGCTACACGAGTAAAGAGGTAGCTAGATGAGGTGTAGGGACAGCTCGACTTAGCTCGGGGGAGCTCAGATAAGCTCGGTGGAGCTCATGTAAGCTCAGCCCAGTTCGGTCTAACTACACACTCATTGGCCAGCTCACACTAAATGAACTGTCATGTCCCCATTCCTGGAACTTGACATAAGGCCAAGACGTTCAATAGAAACGAGACTGCTTTGGTTTAGATCACGAGAAATGATCGTGAACAAGCTGTGATGAAGTGAATGATCAGAATAGATCATGGGGATTTTTAGGCCTGCTCAAGGAATGGACCAAAGGACTTAGACATAGAATAAGATGAAGATAAGCAAAGTTGGACGAGTGATACGGAAACTTGGTGAAGTGTTCGGGAAGCTCGATCAGTTGAACGAGGTAAGACTCAGCTTGGGCCAGCTCACACTGAGTAGAGTCAGTTCCCTGAGCTTGAGTACTAACTCACTCAGCTGTACCCGCTGGGGATCAGCTCCTCTCAGCTGGATGGAATGTTTGGTTTCGGGCAGTTGGACCGATCCGGGCCGTGGTTAGGTCAGCCGGTTGGGTCTTAGGGTCCAACCATTTGGCTGATGGCTTGGGCACTACATGGGCACGGTCAATGGGCTATAGGAAAGGCCCAGGCCCATGTATGATATGTCAGAGGGAAGTTATAGGCGAATGGATGCAAGTGGTTAAGGCTTTAGGCATAAGAATGTGATGGGACCAAGTGGTTTCCATTCGTCCACCAGTGTCTCTTCGGCCTAGGCAGTTACCCACGCCTTCTTCTTTATATACAAGACCCTGAGCACGAAAATAAACATCATTATTCATAAAGAAAAGACAGAGAACATTCATGGGACATAAAGAATAAAAGAGAGACATAAATCTGCCTTAAAAGTGGGCATGGTGGAGATTAAGCAACAACAAGATGAGGATTGTTTGTGGGAAGGAAAGGCTGACTTGAGTGGATCTCATAGGCACGACAGGGCTTCCTTCTACACAATGAAACACAAGGAAAAACAGAGAGATGGTCAGATTCATCAATCCAAGACAAAGAGAGGTGTGAAGGCCATAAAGAGGCAGTTTTGGGTTAATCAATGGGGAAGTTATGAACGACCCATTGATGAGTTTTGATCTGTGTTGTTGGCATCCAAAGCATCCTACAGAGTCTGAGAACACACGCATATGATCAGAGAAGAAGAGGGATGGCTGAATTCTACTTTCCATGGCCAAGACAGCTTTAAGGGTGGATGTGAGTGGAAAGACAGTTTTGTGAGCAATCAAGAGGCGAGTTGAGAACAACCCTCTGATGGAGTTTGATCATTGATGATCACGTCCTAGGCTTTCTCTTCATCCTGGGAACATACACAAGGGTTCAGGAGAGAATAGAGAAGACCGGAATCCATTCTCATTGCAAAGACAGCCTTGAAGGTGAGTGCAATGTAGAACTGGTTTTCATGGGAGATCAATGGAAGGGACTCTTGGTGCGACCCATGGAGGGACCTTATCAATAATGGAGGTATATGATAAGACTTTATAGAGGCATACTTTGGAGGAGCATGGCCGCACATGATCAGGAATGGCACAAGATCTAGAAAGATCAAGTATAAGGTAATCATTTATGATTAATTCCTGGTTTATGTTTATGTCTCTTTTGGTGTGATTAAGACCAAGTATGGCACGTCCCTTGAAGACCATAAATTGTGATGTAAACTAAGTTTACATGGAAGCACTGAACCATGGCCTTGGCCGGTTCAGGAAGAGATAATCCATGGCCATAGGCTGGACTGACCAAAGTCCGGTTTCACATAATCCGGACCTTTGGGATGGATTCTGTTGATGGGAAACCTACTCTGGAGATTTAAAATAATTATTGACATATTTTAATAAATTTTTAGAGTATGTTTGTTTGAGGTTTATTTTTAGGATTTAGGGCTGTTTGTCGAAATCTACAAGGTCTGGAAGGATATTTTGAATTTCGGTTATGAAAATCTCTTACTGGAGATTTATCAGAATTATTGATGGATTTTAATTAATATTGAGAGCACTTTTAAAAGTAGTCATTTTTGGGCAGGAATTGTTCTAGGGAATCAGAACCAAACTTAAACATTTTACACATTCAATTAGTCAGTCCAGAGTCCGAACCGATGTGATCTTGAATTACGATACAATATAACATGAAACAAATACTAAATAAGAAAACCAAACAAAATTGGACATAGAATTACACTAACTAACGTAAGTTTTGTCAACTTAAATCCAACAACACGAGTTCAATTTAAATTTTCCATTAACAGAAACCAATTTAAATACGCGGTTAAGAAGAAAAAAACTGTAATTATTTATCTAAATTTTATTAAAAAATGATTTTAAAGCGTGCATATATAATAACATATACTTTTAACCCTTTTTAAAAAATATTAGCATCTAATGCCATGATGAACATCCATTAGAACTATCATAATAAAGTTTTTGCTGAAAATAAAGTACCAAAATAAACTCTGCTTGAATATATATAATTCATTAGTATTATTTACCATATTTAAATATTAAATATAAAGCCAACTACTAAATTTTTCATTCATATGCATGTCAAAAATATCTCTAATTCGTGTGCACACTATTCCTATCATCCTAATA